GTCCTCTGTCTCCGCTCTTACTACCGCAGTCACCCCGTTTGCCTCTACTTGCCACCTTGACTACGCCACCAGTCTTGTGGGTGCTCCTCCTACCAGTCCTCTGGCCATTGGGGGTGAGTCTGATCTTGGCTGTGACGCCCTAGAAGACAGCCACTTTGAGCTAGAGTTCCTGGCAGCCGCTTCCCCTCATCTCTGTGCCATGCTGCTCGCCCCTGAGGGAGACCCCGACGCCCTTGACGTACGGACTCCTCGCACTTACGCTGAGGCAGTGTTAGGGCCTTGGGCTTCTCAGTGGAGAGCTGCCATGGACTCAGAGATGGCCTCCTACAGATGCACAGGCACTTACGTCGACGAGGTCCCCCCCCTGGGGCGAACGTAGTCAATGTTATGTGGATCTTCAGGGTGAAGCGACCACCGGGATCTCCTCCGGTCTTCAAGGCGCGCTATGTGGCTAGAGGTTTCAGTCAGCGCGAGGGAGTTGACTTCTTTCAGACCTTCGCACCGACCCTGAAGATGACCAGTCTTTGGGTGTTACTGCATGTAGCAGCACAGAGAGACTACGAGTTACACTCTCTCGACTTCTCTACTGCTTTCCTTCAGGGTAGCTTATACGAGGAGGTCTGGCCGTGTCTTCCCTCTGCCTTCACTAGCACCTTCCTTCCTGGGTGTTGGAGTAATTTAGAGCTCGCTCTGGCATTTATCATGGTGTTCTTTTGTCATTTCGCCATGTCTAGAGCGAGATGCACTTTCGGTTCGGTTTAGGTTCATTTCTTAGTTTCCAGCGCAAACTTGAACACACCCTAAGTTCATTTAGGGTTTCCTACATTTGTATCTCGACATTCTTGCTAGTCTACTACTTCAACTATCCTCTCTAGCCATGGCTCCAAGTACTCTCTTAACACTGGGTCCCAGTGGAGGCTAAGGCGGCCGGTCTACGGTCTCCGTCAGGTTGCACCACTACCTTGGCCTGCAGATCACCAGGGACAGAGCCGCTCGCACCATTACACTCTCACAATCACACATGGTGCAGTAGGTCCTTCAGCGGTTCGAGCTTCAGCGGTTCGAGCTTCAGCACTCCAAAGTACAGCGCACACATCTTGTTGTTGACCACAGACTCACTGGACCCTTCCCTGACGAGGCGTTTGAGCCTAGTGGTGCTTACGCAGAGCTTGTGGGTTGCCTCATGTACCTGATGACTTGTACTCGCCCGAACCACGCCTTCCCTCTCAGCATCCTTGCTCGCTATGTGGCGCAAGGGAGACACCGTCCAAGTCACTGGACAGCTGCTGTGAGGGTGGCGAAGTACCTAGTGACGACATCAGGCGTCGGGCTGGTTCTTTAAGGGCAGCAGTCTGTTGTACTTACTGGACATTGTGACTCTTCTTACACTGACGACGTAGAGACCCACAGGTCTACTGAGGGGTACTGCTTCAGCCTGGGCTCTGGAGTTGTTTCGTGGAGGTCCACGCGTTCCTCCTCGGTCTCGACCTCTACTGCTGAGGCCGAGATCTACGCCAGAGCCATGGGTGCAAGAAAGGCAAGGAATGGGGCAATGGGACAAGAGGGAATTGAAATAAGAGGACAAAGGGACAAGACGACAATAGAAGAAGCGAACAAGAGGATAAGAGCACAGCGAATTAGTGAGCAAGGCACAAGAGCAAGAGAAAAGACGATGCATCTCAAGCAAGGGCGAAACACTGCTGCTTACAGTTGAGTTTTTGAATAAGTCTCAATACTTGCTTCTGAACTTTCTCAACGGAGAATTCTGTGAAGGTCCCATCAGAGGTGGGCTGTGGTGCTCACAGATGGTCACTGGTGCTCACAGGTGGTCTGTGGTACTCACAGGTGGTCTGGGGTGCTCACAGGTGGTCTGTGGTGCTCACATGTGGTCTATGGTGCTCACAGGTGGTCTGTGGTACTCACAGGTGGTCTGCGGTGCTCACAGGTGGTCTCTGGTACTCACAGGTGGTCTGTGGTGCTCACAGGTGGTCTGCGGTGCTCACAGGTGGTCTGTGGTGCTCACAGGTGGGCTGCGGTGCTCACAGGTGGGCTGCGGTGCTCACAGGTGGTCTGTGGTACTCACAGGAAGGCAAGTCCGGAAAGGCGGCCCATAGCCTCTGGGATGCTGCCGGTGATGCTGTTGTTTGAAAGCTGTCTGCTCATGCACAGGGAGAGAAGGCATGGGGAGAGAACAGGTATGGGGAGAGAACAGGCATGGGGAGGGAACAGGCATGGGGAGGGAACAGGCATGGGGAAACAACAGGCATGGGGAGAGAATAGGCATGGGGAGAGAACAGGCATGGGGAGAGAACAGGCACAAGGAGTTGTTGTTTCTGTTCCGTTGTTGTTTGACAAATGTTATTCAGATGTGATGATTAAAGCGGCATTGGAGGCAAACTGTTTCTGTTCCTGTTGTTGCTCACTTGCCCGCAGTATGGCATGCTATGCTATGCTATATGCTATATGCTATATGCTATATGCTATATGCTAAATGCTAAATTCTAAATGCTAAATGCTGAATGCTATATGCTATATGCTATATGCTATATGCTATATGCTATATGCTATATGCTATGCTATGCTATGCTATGCTATGCTATGCTATGCTATGCTATGCTATGCTATGCTATGCTATGCTATGCTATGCTATGGTATGGTATGGTATGGTATGGTAGGGTATGGTATGGTATGGTATGGTATGGTATGGTATGGTATGGTATGGTATGGTATGGTATGGTATGGTATGGTATGGTAACGTATGTTAGGGTATCATGGTATGGTACGGCATGGTGTGGCATGGCATGGCATGGCACGGCATGACATGACATGGCTTGGATGACATGGCTTGGATGACATGGCTTGGATGACATGGCTATGGACAAAAAGTGTCCCTTACAGTCTGTAGAGGTTCGTGAAGCCTCCTAACGAGGATGGGAGGGATGGCATATGACAATATGGCATGGCATGGCATGGCATGGCTATACACATACTGTAGTGCCCCTTACAGTCTGTAGAGGTTAGTGAAGCCTCCTAACGAGGATGGGAGGGAGCCGCTGATCTGGTTACCAGCCATGTCACTGGGTGCCGGAAAGAGGAGGGAGGGGAAGGACACGCCGTTGACAGCTTTTGAAGCAACTTCAAAGGAGGGAGAGAGGGAAGGGAGAGGAAGGAAGTCCTTTAACGAAGATGGGCGGGAGCTGCTGATCTGGTTACCAGCCATGTCTTTGGGTGCATGCGGGGAAGGGAAGGGAGGAAAGGAAGCACACACCACCGGTGCAGTGTGGTTGAATCTGAACCAAGAGGAGTAGAGAGGCGACTGCGGAGATAACTACTACAACGGGAGCTAGACTACGGGCTAGGCATGGGTGCTCGTGTGATCTCTTCATTCTTTGGTCCTTAGTCGTTTTCCTAGTGCACACACAGCTTGCTAGTTCACAGGGAGAATTGGCAAGAGTTTCACTAAAGAAAGTTGACAACAATGGGTACATCGAAGTTGGCATGGCCAGACTACATTAGAGCTAGCACTCAGGTCGGTCGACTGCCAGCGCAACATGGTCGACCGCGTTCCAGCTCGACTTGGTCGACCGCGCTTCAGCAGTGCAAAGTCGACAGCGTGCCAACGTCGCAGGTTGACGGCGTGCCAGCGTTGCTCACGCAGAACAGCAGCGCACCCGCTTTGCAGGTGCGCGCAGATGATTGGCGGGCTGAGCCTCGTCACCTGCACAATGCACACACCACGTCATCCTCGTGCTGACGCCTCCACCTGATCCGCCATGTCGACCTCGGGATACCACCACCGAGGTTGGACTCGCCAACTTCGCCTGGGCGACCGTCGCACTCCTTCGCAGAGAACCTCGTCACCCAGGTAACCTGGTCGACCGGGCAACCACGTCGACCAGCTGCTCCCGTATGTGCCTGTCGACCTCCCAAGTCGACGACCACCCCAAGTCGACCTCACCAGGTCGACCACGCCCCGGGTCGACCAGCTCCAGGTCGACGTCACTCCTGGTCGACCAGCTCCACGTCGACCAGCGCAGTTGTTGCCGACCACCCAAGTCGGCTACCCGAAGTCGGCGTTACCAAGTTGACGCCCAGCTACTAGACGCCCAACTGCTCGGCGTCCTGAGTCGAGGTCGACGTCGGCTCCTCCTTCGTCGACCGCCAGGTAAGGTCGACCACCAGCAGGTCGATCAACCACCAGGTCGACCAGCAGTTCGTCAGCCAACCACCGAAGTTGACGTCCCCAAGTTGACGTCCTCCGCAGGTCGACCTCCCAGGTCGACCTCCCTGAAGTCGGCGCCACCCTGAAGTCGGCGCTAGTGCAGTGGTCCCCGTGCAGGTCGACCTCCTCGTCAACCTGCTTGCCCACTGCTGCAGGTCGGCTGCTCCCCTCACACCCGCCACGAATTCAGCTCCGCCCAAGCGAGGACGGGGCCAACACACTACTCCCGTTGACAGCGACAAGGAGAACAAGCAAGACGTAAGTTTTTTTGGGCGCCTCAAAAGGCATAAGATTCCCCTCTTACAAGAACCGCGAGACATGAGTCGATTGTTGAGGTGCCTCAAAAGTCAATGAGCTGGCAAGTCGGGAGTGAAGTAACTGTGAGAAACTCAAGTGTTGGTTTGATTAGAAAGATCGTGGGTACATATAAGAGATGAGAAGTGGGGGGCCTAGGTTGGGTACCTGCGACATTATTGGTGAGCCAATGGGAGTGGCCCCCAATAATGTTTTGGAGGTGGCTGCCGATTATTGGGGGGCCTGGTTCCCCCCGCCAATTGCGGCAGAGTGGGGTTGGGACGCCCCCAACCAGTTGGCCCAAAGTGTACACCCATGTTTGGGTGTTACACTTGCACATTTACAACCCAAATGATGCTATAATCTAACTATAACGGTGCCCTGTTATCATGCCTAGACACTTGATAACAAGGGCCAACATGCCTACCTATACATAATCCTCACACCACGCTCACATCATCCTCACACCATCGTCGCATTATGCTTACATCAAAGTGAGGGACGAGATGTTAGCGAGGAAACCGGGAAACGAGCCGGAGAGCTGGTTGTAGGGCAAGTTTTTGGGGAGAGGCAGAGGGAGCACCGGGAAAAGAGGCAGAGAGAGCACCGGGAAAAGAGGCATAGAGAGCACCGGGAAAAGAGGCAGATAGAGCACCAGGAAAAGAGGCAGAGAGAGCACCGGGAAAAGAGGCAGAGAGAGCACCGGGAAAAGAGGCAGAGAGAGCACCGGGAAAATGGGACGAGAGGTTAGCAAGGAAGCTGGAATACGAGCCGGAGTGCTGAGTCGAGGAGAGAGAGAGCAGGAAAGCGAAAAGGCAGAGAGAGATCAGCACTGGAGTGGCGGTTCAGAAGAGAGAGTTAAAGTTGCTGAGGGTAGATAGATAGAAATACGGGGAGAAGGAGTAAGAAGTACTAAAAGGTAAGAATGAGTACGAACTATGAGTAAGCAAATACCTCGCGCTCACTACTACCACGCTTTAAGGGCACCCAATACCTTAATGCTATTATTCATATGCTGCTTTAAACACTTTCAGGTGAAGCTTACATGCTGTCGGGTGCTTGGAGCTTTGTAAGGGAGAGAGGCAGGGAGTTGTTGAGACATGTTGCCTTAATTTCTCTGGAAGGGAGGAGGTGATGATAGTAGGAGGGAGGGGGTGATGATAGTAGGAGGGAGGGGGTGATGATAGTAGGAGGGAGGAGGTGATGTTAGTAGGAGGGAGGGGGTGATGATAGTAGGAGGGAGGGGGTGATGATAGTAGGAGGGAGGGGGTGATGATAGGAGGGAGGGGGTGATGATAGTAGGAGGGAGGGGGGAAGGTGATGATAGCAGGAGGGAGGGGGGAAGGTGATGATAGTAGAGGGAGGGGGTGATGATAGCAGGAGGGAGGGGGTGATGATAGCAGGAGGGAGGGGGTGATGATAGCAGGAGGGAGGGGGTGATGATAGCAGGAGGGAGGGGGTGATGATAGCAGGAGGGAGGGGGTGATGATAGCAGGAGGGGGGAAGGTGATGAGGGAGAAGGTGGAGGGAGGGGGTTGGGGTGGGGTGGGGGCATGGGGTAGTGCGAACAGGGGAAGAGTGGAACGGAGAGTGAGAAAACGCCGCTGAGTCAGGTTTAGGGTTTGAAACAGGGAAAGTTTGCGAATGGACGCACCCGGTTGTTTGAAACAGGAAGCACTGATTGAAGGAAGGAAGGAGAAGAGGAGACCTCAAGAATCGATCTGACATGATGAAGGAGTTGGGTGGGTGGGTGTGTGTGTTGGATGCTAATTCTACCCCCTATCATAGAGAATAATGATAAAAAAAAACAGAAATGAGCAACTCTACAAAGCGTACAGGATCTTGAGGGACTTGAGGGAGCCCATTGCTGCAGGCAGGCTGCCTGCTATGGGGTTGTACGATAGTTCCCTGGTTGGGCGGTGGGCGGGAGGAGGGGGAAGTGACGAGGGAGAGTGCACTTTGAGAACCCTCAAGAAGGGACTTGAGAGAGCCCATGGCTGCCGGCAGGCTGCCTGATATGGGGTTGTACGATAGCTCCCTGGTTGGGGGGTGGGCGGGAGGAGGGGGAAGTAACGAGGGAGAGTGCATTTTGAGAAACCTCAAGAAGGGAATTGAGAGAGCCCATGGCTGCCGGCAGGCTGCCTGATATGGGGTTGTACGATAGCTCCCTGGTTGGGCGGTGGGCGAGTGGGAGGGTGGGAGGTTGGGAAGGGGAGGTTGGACAGGAGAAGGGGTGGCGCCTGGAGAGTCCATGGCTGCAGGCAGGCTGCCTGATATGGGGTTGTACGATAGTTCCCTGGTTGGGCGGTGGGAGGGAGGAGGGGAAGGGGGAGGTAAGGAGGGAGAGTGTATCTTGGGACACCTCAAACAGGGACCTTGAGGGAGCCCACTTTTGCCGGCAGGCTGCATGCTATGGGGTTGTACGATAGCTCCCTGGTTGGGCGGCGGGCGAGTGGGAGGGTGGGAGGTTGAGAAGGGGAGGTTGGACAGGAGAAGGGGTGGCGCCTGGAGAGGCTGTTGCTGTTGGCAGGCTGCCTGCTATGGGGTTGTGTGAGAGGCCCCTGGTTGGGTGGGGAAGTGAGAGTCTGTTTCCACGCCTCAGGAGCTAGCTGGCCTGGCTGGATTGGGATGGATGGTAAGGACTATGCTTTGAAAAACCTCAAGAAAAGCACACTGCTGCTTGCCGGTTGCCTCATCCAGGGTCGACCAATTGAAGCGAAGGCCTGGTTCCTGGTTGGGTGGGGAGAGGGTAGGAGGGGGGGGAGGAGGAGGGGGAGCAGGGGGAGGAGGAAGGGGATTATGACGGGGCAAGTGTGGTATTGATACCTGGCCTGCCCCTGAAACCGGTGAATAATAAACAAGGCTCGCAAAAAAGGCAGGGATATGTGTGTGAGGAATGTGAAGAATATGAAGAATGAGTGGAATGAGAGGAATGAGAGAAAGGGGTATCAAATATGAAGAAAGAGGTATGTGGCTATGCATGCATGCACAAGCACAGCACAGCACCGCACAGCACCGCACAGCAAAGCGCAGCACAGCACAGCTCAGCACAGCACAGCACCGCACAGCACAGCACAGCACAGCACAGCGCAGCGCAGCACATACAAGAAAACAAGTTTTTTCAGAGAGCCAATGACAGAAGGTATGGTGCCCGTGATGTTGTTGATTCCAAGAGACCTGCGGCATTATCACATCGCATGACAGATCACATCGCGTGCCATGCATAAGTAGGGTTTCATACCATGACACACCATACCATGCCATGCATATGATATGATCTGACCATGCACATGAAATGCAATGCTTTGCAGAAGAGAGGATGCAGAAACACTCGTTCCCAAAGTCGCCTCTTCAGATAACGGCAGGGATACTCATTCCCTCCACTCGAACCCACTCACAAAAGGCGGGAAGGGGCTTACAGATACACAAGGCTAGTCAGGCCTGAGATGGCCCGCGGGATGGACCCACTGATCTGGTTGACATTGAGAGTCCTGAAGACACATAGCGTAGGGTGGGAGGGACATAACGAAAAGCACGAGGTTGATTTGAAGAGGCTTGAGATGGCCCGAGGGATGGACCCACTGATCTGGTTGACATTGAGAGTTCTGAACACACATAGCGTAGGGTGGGAGGGACATAACGGAAACCACGAGGTTGATTTGAAGAGGCGTGAGATGGCCTGTGGGATGGACCCATGGATCAGGTTGACATTGAGAGTCCTGAACACACAGAGCGTAGGGCAGAGTACAGTGTAGGGGTGATGACATCACAGAACCAAGTTTTGAGGCTTTTGAGACGTCTCAAAAGGGGTGGTGACATCACAGAACCAAGTTTTGAGGAGCCTCAAAACTAGGCAAAGTAGAGAGGAGTGACATCACAGAACCACAAGGCTGATTCAAGAGGCCTGAGATGAAGCGAGCGAGACACAGACCCACCCACTAACCTGACTAGCATGGATGGAGTCCTGATCATACATGCAGGCAGAATGGGGGGTTTTGACTATTTTGAATTGACTATTTTGAATCGACTGATTGAACAAAGTTGGGGTGACCTTATATCCCACCCTGGAATACTGGGTTTTCAGGCTACCATGCTGTTACTGTGTGGTTACCACGTGACTTACCAAGTTCCCACTGCACACCAAAGAGCCTGCAAGCTCAGTTAACCTCTTGAGTTTGGAAATAAAAATTGACCTCTTGCGGTTACCACATGGTTACCACGTGGTTACTAGGTTGCCAACATACACCAAAGGGCAAAGAGCCTCTTGAACTTGGAGATAGAGCTTCCCCACTTGTGGTTACCACATGGTTACCACATGGTTACACCATCTGTGGTCGCCAAAAGTACGGTACGTACAGCTCTGTCAGATAGCCACTTGAACTTGGAGAGAGAGCTTGGGCTTGTGTGGTTACTTACCATGTGGTTACCCGATTGCCACCAAACACAACAAACACGCCATAAGCAACGTACAGCTCAGATAGCTTCTTGAGTTTGGAGATAGAGCTTTGCATCCTATGGTTACCATGTGGTTACCATGTGGTCACCATGTGGTCACCATGTGGTTACCATGTGGTTACCATGTGGCTTACCCGGTCCAGGTTGCCACCGCACAGCACACCAAAGAACCAGGAAGCAACGTACAGCTCAGATAGCTTCTTGAGTTTGGAGATAGAGCTTGGCAGACTCGAGGCGAACGAGTTGAACTCCAGATTGCTGTTGCAACGGGGTTGGTTGAGGAGGTGGTTTGGGAGGGTAGGGGATATGGTGAGGTGAGTGAGGTCGTTGGAAGGAGGGGAAAGTGAAGGAGGGGAAAGTGAAGGAGGGGAAACTGAAGGTGAGAAAGCGAGATGGACTTGGGGTCTCCAGGGGAACGAGTTTGCTTTCACAACTGGTTTGCTCTTTTGAAGAGCGATTTGCAGCAGAACACATTGGTAAAGTGAGGAGAGTTACACGAGCAGAGCTGAGGTGAGTCTGAGGGGTGAAGCAAGGTGAAGAAAGGTGGAGAAGGTCTCACGGGCACAAAGAGATGCAGGGGTTTTCACAGCATGAATTGAGGTGAGAGAGAGCATACATTCGCCTCAATTGAGGCATGGCTATGAGAGGGGACAGAGAACCCGAGATCTGATTGCGCGATAGATCACTGCAGGCGTGTGATGGGAAGAGATGGGGCGAGAGGCAAAGACGAGTGCTTTTGCTTATTGCTTTTTTTGTTTTGTTTTGTTTTGATTTTGTTTTTGTTTTTGTTTTTGTTTTATTTTGGAGAGCAAGGAGCTCACTCATGCTAGTTAAAAGAGAGCAATGCGCAGACACTTGATCTAAACAAACAGGAATGCTATGCATTCCTTTCTATGTTCACTAATGCGCGAGCGACTGCAATGCAACCTGATTGACATGTAACTGGCAGTCAACACAAGCCAAGCCGCTACACACAGTGTTCTGGAGCTTGGAGAGGTGGCAAGAAGGGGGGGGGAGGGAGGTGGGAGCTTGGAATTCGCAGTCAACACAAGCCAAGCGCTACACACAGTGTAACGAGCTTTTGAAGCTTAGAGAGTTTAGCCGGAACGGCTTTTGAGACGTCTCATAAACCAGGACATAGCAAGCGCTACCCACAGTCTGACGAGCTTTTGAAGCTTGGAGAGTTTAGCCGGAATAGTGGAAGTGAACTTGTTGGACCCGAGTGACCTGCGGGGAGAACGGGGGGGTGCAGGGTGGGGGGGAAGGTGGAGAAGAAGGGGGGGAGGGAGGTGGGGGAGGGGAGGTGGGGAAGTACGGGGAAAGGGAGGTGGAAACTTGGAGACCTTAGCAGGAATGGAGGAGGAGAGCTGGTTGGGCCCAAACCCCTGGGGGAGAGGTGGCGAGGAGGGGGAAAAGGGAGGTGGGAACTTGGAGATTTTAGTTGGAATGGAAGAGGAGAGCTGGTTAGAACCGAGCAATTTGGGGGCAGGGGGAGAATGGGGGGAGAGGGAGGTGGGATGGGGAAGGGAAGAAGGCAGAGTGGGGGGAACATGGTGTTGCACACGATAATGATCTGGGTGGCATGCAAGGAGTGGGCGGCGCGGCACGCAAGCGTGGGGTGGGTGGCAGGCAAGAGTCTAGCAGAGGCAAAGTCATAGGCAAACGCAGAGGCAAAGTCATAGGGTGAACTGGCTAGCAGAACAGGATGGAGAGGCGAAGAAAGGGGGGAAGGGAGGGTGATGGGTAAAAGGTGGGGGGAGGGGAGAGGGTAGGGGAGGGGCAGCACCACAGGTGCACGAGAGGGGGAGTAAGTGAGAGAGAAGATAGTACACCGTAGCGACTGTGTGGTGTGGTGTGGTGTGGTGTGGTGTGTTGTGAAGGTGTATAGAGGAACGAGTGAGGGCTTGCAGGTATGTGAGGGCAGTCGGTTTAGAGGCGCCTCGAAACCAGACTCAGCGTAACAACTTAGTGCTGCGGTGTGGAGGTATAGAGAAAAGGACAGGAGGAAAGGAAGTGAGGGAGGGTGTACAGGTGTGTGAGAGCAGTGAGTGCAGAGAGGAAGGGGGGAATGTCACCCTCCAAGTTGTTGTTAGTTAGGGCCCTGTGAGGAAACAGGGAAACGGGTGAACGGGGGAACGGGGGAACGGGTGATGGGCAAAGAAAAGGCAACTAAGCAAGAAGAGGAGAGGAAGGGGGGAATGTCACCTTCCATGTTATTGCTAAACCCTAAACCCGTGCGACCAAGGTGGGGTGGATGGAGGGCAATAGGCAAGTGAGCAACGGGAAAGTGGGCGTATGGGCCCAGGGGGATTTGAGTTTTGAGGCGCCTCATAACTCAACGCAACGGGGAAGTGGGCGTATGGGCCAAGGGGGATTTGAGTTTTGAGGCGCCTCATAACTCAACGCAACGGGGAAGTGGGCGTATGGGCAAAGGGGGACACATAAGCAAGGAGAGGAGAGCAAGAGAGGAATGGGCAATGACGGGTGGATGGGCAACACACACACACACACACACACGCACAGACACAGACACACACACACACACGCACACAGACACACGCACACACACACACGCACACACACACACGCACGCACGCACACACACACACCCAACCCCACAAATGCATGCATGCACGCATGGAATAGTGTCACCCCATACAAATGCTGCACTCTCTAAGTAGGCTGAAAGAGGGAGGGATAGAAACACAAACACATATGCATGCACAACCCCCCACCCCCACACCCGCCTACCAATCCACCAACACCACCCCCCCTCTCACTCACACACACACAAACAA